GCTCGGCGATGCCGTTCATTGCAGGGGAGTATGGCATGGTGAGGGAGTGCCGAATACCATTCTTCTTCAGCCACAACCCAAACTCCTTGCTCAGGAACTCTCCCCCTCGATCGGTGCGGATTGCCTTCACTAGCCGGTCTTGTTGCCGCTCCACCATCGGCAACCAATCGGTCTTCACCGTTTCATCCACGTCACTCTTCTTGGACAGCACGTACACCCAAGTCATGCGAGTGTAGACGTCCACAATGGTGAGAAAGTACTCAGCTCCAGCAGCTCCAAGCTTCAGGGGGCCCACCACGTCCATCACCACCTCATCAAGTGGTGCCTTAGCCGTTGCCTCCGAACTAGAGAACGGGAAACGGGTGAACTTGGCTTGCATGCACGTCGGGCAGCCAAGTACCTCATCGGGCTCCCCCTTCACACGTATGCCAGCAACCATCTCATTCTTCACTAGCTGCTGCAAGATGGGCAGGGCCACATGCCCCATTCGCCGATGCAAGGTGAGCCAATCACACTCCCCCGTAGCCGAAGTCGGATTGGAGAATGCCGCGCTCGCAATAGCGCCCCACATACTCTCTCCGTAGTCCTCCTCCGCTGCTGCCTCTGGGTTCTCCTCACCCTTTTGCTGCTCCTTGGTTGCTGCACCACTCTCCTTAGGTTCACTGAACTTGCTGGTCCCTCCAAGTTTGCTCTTCTTGAGCTCATTCTCCTTAGCGCGACCGTTCGCGCCATCGTCGCTACCGACCGCTCCATCCTTGGTGCTGATGCTTGCTGCCACTTGCCTCTCCTTAGGCATAGGGACCACTGGGATCTGCCACATCTCGTTGTAGACATCCCTGTCCTCATGAAGGTCCCAAAGAATTCGATCGCCAAGCCTTGCGGTGTAGGTCTTGGCTCCCTTCGAGTTCGTGTCCATGCCGGCCTTTGCCAACCGCCGCACGGAAATCAGGTTTGCAGCAAGGCTGGGCACCCAAAGCACGTTCTTGAGGCCCACCATCTTCCCATCAGCACCCTTGAACATGGCCTTGCCCATGCCTTTCACCTCTGCTCGCTGCCCCAAAGCCGATGTGACATGCTTCACCGGTGACGGCTCGAGTTCGGTGAGCAAGTCCGGGCGAGGTGTCATGCTATAGGTAGCGCCACTATCAATCACCCAATAGTCCAGGGGGTGTAGGGTCACCTTCCCCACAGCTGCTGGCTCCTCAAAGCCTTCATCCTTCTCTGGACCAGCCGGTACTTGCGTTGACACGAAGTAGAATAGACCCGGGTATCGATCGTCGCTCGGGTCCTTGTCGTTGTCTCCGCTCTTCATGTTTGCAGCTCCGCCACCGCGACCGCCACGGCCTCGACGGCCTCGTCCTCTCCCTCCTCCTGCTCCTCTACCCTCTTGGCCTTGAGCAGGGGTCCAACCATCAGGGAGTTTGTAGCAGTCGCGCCACATGTGTCCGCTCTTGTGGCAATAGTGACACTCGCCGTCGAATCGGCCGCGACCGCGTCCGTAGCTCTTGTCGTCGCTGCCATAACCGCCACTCCTGCGGCCTCCGCCGAAGTTGCTGCCACCAAACCTTCCTCCCCCTCGTCCTCTGCCTCTTCCTCGACCATATCCACGGCCGATGCTCGCTGCCCCAGCGCCATCCGCACTCGCCAACTCACGGCGGCGGAAATCCTCTTGAAGGATAGCTCGCTTCACGTCTTCAAGCGAGAGGCGGGGCAAGTCGCGATTAAGGTTGATGATGAGCGAGGACCATGACTCTGGGAGTAAGGCCAGCAACTTGGTCTTCTTTTGGAGCTCACTGTAGTTCAAATCAGCTCCCTCAAGCCGCGTCAACAAGTCGAAGAATTTCTGCACCCCTTCTTCAACCGCTTCGTCTTCTTCAATTCGTAGTGCCGCCATTTGCCGTTCCAACACCACCGCTACCGCCGCTGTTGCAGGAGCATGTACACCCTTGAGAGCAGCCCATGCCTTTGGTCCTTTCTCTGGTTCACGCTGGAATGGCTTGATGTGACGGATCTGACTGCTCCCCAACGCTTGCCCAAGTAAGAGATAGCCTTGTGCGCTCTTCCGCACCCACGGGCTCTTCTCCGGGTCGTTCTCGGGACGCTTCTCCGTTCCTTCCATCACCTCCAGCAGGTCATAGTGGTCAAAGATGTTCTCCATCTTGAAGGACCATTCAGCAAAGTTGTCACCGTTGAACTTGTCAAGCCCAAACACCCTAGGCTCATCCCTAGGTGGGCCAAGACTTGGTTGCATGGGCGCCATGGCTGAATCACGGGGTTGGCCTTGAGCTTGAGCTTCTCCACTGCCACCAGCACCTCTGCCACCCCTTTCCTCAGGTCCAGACATTGTCGAAACTGCTCCAAGGGCTCTGATACCACTTGTTATAGTCACAATAGGCTTGAATGTGCCTAAAACGAAAGATAGAGAGCACAGACGGATTTCTGCACAGCGGCTTCAAACGTTGATAGCGTTCTGCTCACAGCTGCAAATGACCTGATTCAAATTGGATCTGGAGCGTCTTCACGTCGTCTACAATTAGCAATTTAGATTGCACGATTTGATAAAGAATTGACGACACAGCGTTGGTTTTAACGAACGGTACTATGGCAGCCACTATAGTCTTAGAACACAAGATAGGAAGAGTTACGAGTTGGGAATGACTCCCAGCTCCTACAAACCCCAAGAGCCGAGGTACAGTGATGTGGAACAGTGCCACACTGTCCCCAACCACGAAGGGTCTCGAAACTACCCTTCACTAGGGCCTACACCAAGTGAAATGTTACACTACACAAAGTAATGTAACTATCTTCAATATCTTGAGGTGTACCCTTTTGGCAAGCTTCGAAATCACTTGAGGCTTGACACCAAGGCTCGGGCTCTTCATCACAAACTCATCCTTGAGTTCTTGATGGGTCTGCTGCACACACCTGCGACACGCCGAACGTTCGACACAGGACAAAATAGAAACCGCGCACGACAAAATAGAAACCGCGCGCGAGACACAAACGACCGCGTAACACGCGTCTAGCGATAACTCGCTATTGACTCGACACACACACTCGACATCATGACTCAACATTCACACACAATTATAAGCATGAAATATATATTATCCCATGCCCTCATACCATTCCATACACACACACATTCACGCACACGGACAACAAGCCGAGTGCAAACCGTAGGGTTGCACCAACATTTCCGGCGGTGGAATACGGCGGCCTCCCACCAGCAGAGTACTCTGCGCCCACTTACCAGATCGCGCACGCTTGGGAGCGGAAGTAGCCGACGGCGGGCCAAGGGACACCCGCACCATGCTTGGAGTAGGACTGGGCGAGGGCGGTGGAGGATCTTTGCTGCAGCCAGCAACAGCCGGGGGGAGAGTGAATGGGACGGGAATAGGAGAAGCAGTAGGAGTAGGGGTTACTACAGGGGCAGAGTCGTGAACGGTAGACCTAGGCGGTTCAGGTGTGACGGGAGCAGCCGTAGCTCTAAGAAAATCTAGCCCAGAGCGGGGAGCATCCGAAGCTTTCTCCGGCTGGGACGGCGCTGTTGGTTTCGCTGTTACAGGCGGCTCGTCGGGGCCAGTGTCCGGAGCAGCTTCGTCGGCCGGCATGGCCTCCATTGGTGGCTAAACTGAACGAGAGGAAAATGAGACAATGAATGCACGGAATGGAAAGAAAACACCAGTGAACAAAGGAACGTTGGCTGTTGGTAGGGGGAGGGAAGGGAAGGTTGGAGATGGCGGGAGCACGAAACCACCGCGCCGCGATTCCACGGACTTGATGGCAACATTCGACGATGAATTCGTCGTTGCATTCAAGGCCGAATTCATTCACGGACTCCTTGGCTGCCACCGCATGCTGTCAACAGGCCATTCTGGCCAATGGCAGACACATGCTGTGCACTCTGCGGTGCGCGTGGCAGCACCGTATCATTGATTTGGCTGCGTTGGCGCTGTTGCCAGCTGTGATGTACAGCACGTCAGTGTTTTCCTTTGTCGGTATTACGTCACTCACGGGCGCGTGAAGGGGGTACCTCACATGGGGCCACTCGAAGAAATGCTTACGCACAAGGGGGTTATCGAAACGAAGCTTCTAGGAAACTTCGTCCCGATACCCTCGCATTCAGGGTCCACGGAACGCATACCCTGCATAGACAGAGTCCGCAACTACACTACTCTGAGCCTAGTTACAAGAATTCAGAGTCCGTTAAGTAGCTTCTCTGATTGGATCAGAGTTCACAAAATACAAAACCTGAGTTTGCAGGGACCACCAAGTCAGAAGCCTGTAATCACCCTGAAATCAGGGTAATTACCCTGATAAAATCAGCCCTGGGCAGACATCATCAGGCAGCAGCAGTGGCAAGGATTATGCCCAGGCAGTTCGTAACCGTCTGGAGTCACACGGTTGGGTTTCGCTGCAATAAGGGAATGTACCCCTTAGAGTACATGGCTAGACTAGGTCGATTGGTATTCCCTTGTACTCTTATTTATATTCCTGTACTTGCATGTTTTTACCATCTCAAGCATTTTACATCCACTCTGCTATTGAGGTCAAGGGCCCACCACCACTACTCAGACGTGTGCGAACCTTCCTGAGGTGATCCTAGGGTCGATCAACATCTGATCGCAACAAAAATCATGTTGATGCACCAAATGTATCATCCAAACTTCTCACGCAAAACCTCTTGTTTCAAACAATAGGAGGGCATGTTGTTCTACTGCAACAGCTCATCGAGAGACCAGAAGGGAAAATGAATCTGTTCCGGTGACATAGATCATTGTGACAACAAGCAAATCAAGCAATGCTTGGCTTTGCACACTGTTAATGATACTGCTGATGAATGGATAGAGAAATTCTTGGATTCCGTATATAAACAGACATACCGTATTGCATCCACTGTACGCAAGGGTACATACGATAATTAATTGTCTAGTGGTCTATTCTAACGAAATTGTACTGAGACGTGTATTTACACTGAGCTGCTTCGAAAATATGACCTAAGGGCGGGAAGAATTGGGAGCACTGGCAGAGGAAGAGGGGTCGTAGTGGGAAAGCCTGGTGTGGTTGACCCCTAGGGTCGGGAAGGGGACGGGGAGGAGGAGGAGGTGGGATAGGGGGAAGAGGTAGGTAGTGGGGTATTCGTGCCATTCGAAGCAGCAGATGGGAGAGGCGGTGGGGTGGTTGTGGTGTTGGGGGAGGGGGAAGGGGAAGGCAGTGAGGGGGAGGTGGTATTAGCGGAGGGGGAAGGTAGTGGCAGTGAGGGGGAGGTGGTATTAGCGGAGGGGGAAGGTAATGGCAGTGAGGGGGAGGTGGTATTGGCAGAGGGGGAAGGGGAAGGCAGTGAGGGGGAGGTGGTATTGGCGGAGGGGGAAGGGGAAGGCAGTGAGGGGGAGGTGGTATTAGCGGAGGGGGAAGGGAGTGGCAGTGAGGGGGAGGTGGTATTGGCAGAGGGGGAAGGGGAAGGCAGTGAGGGGGAGGTGGTATTGGCGGAGGGGGAAGGGGAAAGCAGTGAGGGGGAGGTGGTATTAGCGGAGGGGGAAGGGAGTGGCAGTGAGGGGGAGGTGGTATTGGCGGAGGGGGACGGGAGTGGCAGTGAGGGGGAGGTGGTATTGGCGGAGGGGGAAGGGAGAGGGGATGAGGGGGAGGTGGTGTTGGCGGAGGGGGAAGGGGAAGGCAGTGAGGGGGAGGTGGTATTGGCAGAGGGGGAAGGGAGAGGGGATGAGGGGGAGGTGGTGTTGGCGGAGGGGGAAGGGGAAGGCAGTGAGGGGGAGGTGGTATTGGCGGAGGGGGAAGGGGAAGACAGTGAGGGGGAGGTGGTATTGGCGAAAGGGGAAGGGAGAGGCAGTGAGGGGGAGGTGGAATTAGCAGAGGGGGAAGGGAGAGGTAGCGAGGGGGAGGTGGAATTAGCAGAGGGGGAAGGGAGAGGGGATGAGGGGGAGGTGGTATTGGCGGAGGGGGGAGGGGAATGCAGTGAGGGGAAGGTGGTATTGGCGGAGGGGGAAGGGGAAGGCATTGAGGGGGAGGTGGTATTGGCGAAAGGGGAAGGGAGAGGCAGTGAGGGGGAGGTGGAATTAGCAGAGGGGGAAGGGAGAGGCAGTGAGGGGGAGGTGGTATTGGCAGAGGGGGAAGGGACAGGGGGAAGGCCAGTGGAAGGGAGGGGGGGAGCAGCAGAAGGGAGTGGGGGAACGGAAGCGGAAGGAAGTGGGGGAAGGGAAGCAGAAGGGAGGGAGGGAAGGGCAGCAGAAGGAAAGGGGGGAAGGGAGGCAGTCGGAAGAGTAGGGAGAGGGGAGGGGAGGAGCGGAATTCCCCCCAAACCTCCTGCCAAACCTCCCGCCAGGCCTCCGCCCAGAGCTCTTCCAAGCGCCCCCAGCCCCCCTCCAGTAGCAGCAGCTATGGCCGCTGCTTCCCCCGCCTTCCACCCCTTCCCCTTCCCAGCCGCCTTTGCAGCCAACCCTCCCATAGCTGCACCGCTTGTCACGCCTCCCGAACCTCCTATCACCGCACCAGCTGCTGCAGCAGCAGCACCACTGGCAGCATAACTGGCACCAGGGGTGTTGCCACTGCCAGCAGCACCACTAGCACCAGGGTTGTTGCCACTGCCAGCAGCACCGGAAGCAGAAGAAGCAGGCGGTGACGGAGGAGGTCGGATCGGCAGCGGCTCAAACGTGACAGCTTCCCCGGACCCCCCTCCCCCAGGTAACACCTGTGCGCCGCCAGCGGAACCAGGGGTGGCGGAACTAGGGGTGGCGGAACCAGGGGTGGCGGAATCAGGGGTGGCGGAACCAGGAATAGCTGAGGCGGAACCATCAAGAATGTTGACTTCGAAAGGCGAGGGCAATCCGGCAATTCCCCCTCCCCTCATCATTCCGCCCACCCCTCTCCGCGCATTAGCCACCGCAGCAGAAACGGCTGGATTAGCGGTGCTGCTTCCGGTAACCACGCTGCTGCTGCCGCCGCCGCCGCCGCCGTTGCTGCTGCTGCTGCTGGCGGGAAACGTGCTGCTGCTGCTGTTGGTACTGGTAGGGAGCATAGAGGGTGTAGATTGAGCAGCGGAAAGGCGAGGGGAGGCGAGCAGGATGAGCGGGAAGAGGAGAAGCAAGGAGAGGCGAAGGGGCCTGAGTTCCATGGCGAATCGAAAGAGGCTTCGATCTGAAGACGGAGTACGAGCCATGGCACCGGCTTCGTCGTAGAACGATGAGCGGCGGGAAGCTGCGACGCGTCACGGCAAGTAACGGTTACTAGTTCAGGATCGAGTAACGGTTACTAGTTCAGGATCGAGTAACGGTTACTAGTTACTAGTTCAGGATCGACTTGATGCGTCACGTTGGAAGTTCTGAAGACGGGGTAGCGGCGCGCTACGATTCAGTCCCGACTGACTCGTCTTGGTCACTGAGTCGCGTCTGTGAAGCGATCTTTTAGGCGTTTCAAGAGTTGAAGAGCTGATCTCGTCTGTCTGGCGAGAGACGATAGATGAGACAGTCTGGTTGACGGACATGTTTCGGCGGCCTTTTATGCACGCTACTAGCATTAGCATCGGCACCAGATCCGCACGCGGTGATATAATCGAGGAATGTTAGAGATAAAATCGGTGATTGCGCTCTAAACGCCGGTGCACAAAGTGGTGCCGAGGCTACCATGCGGAAGACTTGGCCGAGAACGGTAAAAGGGCGGAGAAATTGAATCGGCATGAGGAAAAGCTAGCCGGCCTCTTGCTCTGGTCGAGTCGAACCGCGTGCAGCGACCATTCTTTGTCGACCCCCGCTGCGAAATATCCGCCTCAATAGGGCAAGTTTTGAATTGAGGCTGCGAGCTGGAAGCTTATTAAGTGAATAAGGCGCCATGGTTATCGAACTGACTTCAGCACAGCTTGATATTTTGCTTATACGATCAACTTGACAGTTCTAACCTGGGACGCGTATTGATCTTGCCAGCCTGTACAAGTAGTGAGTAGGAGGAGGCGTAATTGTTCGGAGGTTCTCGAAATGGCGTCGTTTTTCTGGAAGCCTCGTGAGTGGGAGGTATGCATTCGAGAAATTGAGATTCCAGTTCTGCTTGAAACGGCCGAGGCGCGGATAGGAGATTCGAAAATCGATATAATTTGAGAAATCGAAGCGCGAGCCCGCCCGACTGACTGTAAAGTTTCGTGGTGGAGGCCGATAGACGAGTCAGCGACACGAGCGGAGAGAGTTTTTCCGTGGCGAAACGGCTAGCGATTTGGCTGAAGCGTGTGTTGACGAAACGAATGGCGCAGATCGGCCAGAACACAAATTGGTTACCCATTTATCGCGGATGTTCGCGACAGTAAGTACTTCGACTGTTTCCTCATTTCTTGTACCTCACGAGCTCGCTATCCCCGTCTCCATCTATCCCCGTCTAAATCAAACCCGATTCCATAATTTGCTTGCATCCAGTCCACCACCTCTGCACTTGTATACCCCAGTAATTCAAGGTAAATCGAGCTTGCTTGGTTGGGTTGCATCCATCCTGAATACTTTCACATTTCGGTTTTGCTACACTCCCACTCACCCTTCCATCCTGGAAACGCCTTCGCATACCTCGCCAACTTCCGTCGAAGGCCCTCGAACAGCGCATACGCGGTGCCCAACAGCCCTTATCTTTAGGCCTTTGTCACTTAATTAGAATCTAACAGCTTGATACCTTGTCGTACGGGCTCGACCTGCACAGAGTCAACCTGGAACATGGCTGACGAGGAGATCAACTATGAGAGCGACGCGGGATTAGATTCTCTTTTCTTCACCCGCCCCAAGGGCCCGAATCCACCGCCCACGCCGTATCTCTACGTGGCAAACTGCGGTGCTGAGGCGGAGATGACGTATGCAGCCCTTGCTGACGTGTTCTCCTCCTTCGGCCATGTCCGCCGCGTCGTCCCGGCCGGCGCCGCCAATCTCACCCGCATTTTTGTCGTTTTCGGCGGGCGCTCGCGCGCGGAGGCCTCCGCCGCGGCGGAATCTGCGCTGCAGGCGCTGAGCGGAAAGCCCTGCGCGGAAGCGGGCGGAAGAAAGATGCACATCCAGTTCGCCGTGGGGAAGCGATCCGCACCGGTAGGCACTGTTAGGAAACTGTCATTAGAGAATCTGAAAAAAGAAGAAGAAAAAACGCTCGAGTTTCTTCGGGGTTCAAGACGAGGTCACGGGTGTGCTAGTCGGATGATATCAGATCCGGGACAAGTCAGGGTTTGGGGGTTTACATTTTTTTCTACACATTTTGTTACTTTCCTGCGCAGGTGGAGCATCCGGTGGTACACCACAACGTTGACGCGCTCGCTATACCGGGGCTGTTCCTGCACCTCGATTTTGTCACACCCGAGATGGAACAGGTGAAAGGGTGGAGTGGTGGTTGGTTCAGGGTTTAGGGCGTAAACAGATTTCAAATTTCTTACAATCACACTGCCAGGGTTGTTGCTGCACCACACTTGAAGATGGGACGGTTGATTGAAAGGCAAAGGACGCATAAGTTAAGGTGTAGACGGTAAAGTGGCAACGATTGACAGTCAGGGATTAGAAGGTGTCGGAGCACAATGGCCTGACTGTCTCTCCTCTCTCCCCCTCCTTCTCCTCTCCCCCCTTCTCCCCCCCTCTCCTCTTTCTCTGCCCCTCTCCTCCTCTCCCTCCCCCCTTCTCCCTCCTCCCACCATCAAACTCGCAGAGCCTTTTGGATTTCGCGGATGGCAACAATTGGCATTATCTGACAAAGAGGCGCGTCCAGCACCATGGTTACGCCTTCAACTACACTGTATGTGTGTGTGTACAAACCTAAGTTGTTGTTGTTGCTGTTGTTGTTGTTGTTGTTGTTGTTGTTTTTTTTTTTTTTTTTTTTTTTTTTTTACACTGATTGTGGAAATGTTACAAGTAGCATTGCCCCTTTTTTTTGTTTTCCCCTTCCAGCCCCCTTCAGATCAGAGTGAGGGGGGTGCACATCTTAGTCAATGTAATAGTCTCTCCCGCCACCCCCCCAACTCCCCATTTCCCGCCTCACACTCTTCTTTCACAACCCCCCGCTTGTCCCCCTCTCCCCCTCCTTTCAGACGAGAGACATCGAGAAAGACAAGTGGATCGGCCCGCTGCCTGCAGCAGTGTCGGACTTTGTTTCGCGGGCAGAACAGCTGCCCGAGCTCACGGGCTGCCCGGAAGTTTGCATGCCGCTGGATCAACTGACGGTGAGATTAGGGCGTGTTCAGGCGTTTTCACTCATGAGAAATATTCAAAACGTTTTGGGTCGGTTTCGTGCATGCGAACCCTCTCATACCCCTCTCCCCCTCCCTCCCTCTTTCCTCTCTCCCTCTCCATCCCCCTGTCCCTCTCCTTCTCCTCTTGTCTTACCTGCAAATCAGCAATTACGACGAGGCTGAAATGGGCCTGGCTCCGACACCCACACTACCTCCCCCTCTCCTTCTCCCTCTCCTTCTCCCTCTCCTTATCATTCAACCTTCCACCTCCTTCCACTCTCCCTTCTCCGCAGATCAACGAGTATGCGACTGGAGTGGGCCTGGCACCGCACATCGACACGCATGCTGCATTCGAGGGAGCAGTTCTCTCCCTCTCCCTGGCTGGCCCTGCGATTATGGAGTTTAGGAGACCTATGGGGCCTCAACCTGTGGGGAAACAGCCGCTGGGGAAAAAGAAGGTTGTTGGTGGGAGCAGCGAACAGAGTGGGAGCAATGGGAACAGTGAAAGGAGTGGGAACAGTGGGAACAGTGGGAGCAGCAATGGAAATTGTGAGAGCAGTGACGGTGCCTGTTGCAGCAGTGACGCCTATAGCCACAACAGCAGCACCAATGGGTGTTGCTTGATGAAAGCACAAGCAACAGCAGGAGGAGAGGCAGAGGAAGGAGCCACGCTAAGGGGAGAGACAGGGGGGTCGGATGAGAGGAGAGCGGAGGAGGAGAATCGAGAAGAGGAGAATAGAGCAGAGGAGAAGAGAGGGGATGAGAAGAGGACAGAGGAGAAGAGAGCAGAGGAGAAGAGAGGTGATGGGAAGAGGGCAGAGGACAGGAGAGTTCTCTTTCTACCACCTCGCTCCCTCCTCGTCCTAACAGGCGAGGCCCGATACGCGTGGTCCCACTACATTCCCAACCACAAGATTGACCACATCAACGGCCAGGATTTCCCACGCGCCCCGCGCAGGGTTTCTTACACCTTCCGGAGGGTTCGGTTCGGCCCATGCGGGTGTGCTTACCCTGAGTTCTGTGATGCTCCGAGAATGGAAAGTGTTGCCGAAAATGGAAAAGTGCCGACTGATAGGGACAGGGCAGCGGGAAGTGAGGGAGTGTTGGTGGAGAGAACAGGAGCGGGGAGGTTGCTGGTGAAGGAGAAGGGAAGTGAAGGGATGAGGAGGAGAGTGGAAGATGGGTGTTGTGGGGGGAGTGTCGGGACGCACTCACACGAGGGAGTGGAGGAGTGTGCGGAGGAGGGGGAGGAGGAAAAGAAAGAGGAGCAGAGAGTGGCAGGTGGGAGCGATGGGGAAACTGTGGTGACGCACTCACACCAAGGAGTGCGGGAGTGTGGTGGTGAGGAGGAGGAGGAGGAGAGGGCAGAGGAAGAGGAGGGGAAAGGGATTACCGCTTCCCCTCATGTTGATCCGTCCAAAACCCTGGAGTCACCTCAAACCACTCCAGCAGTGGAGCGAGACTTAGTGCACAAGGTATACGATGCCATAGCGCCGCATTTCAATCCCTCTGACGCTGCTGCCTCTCCTCAGACCACCCCAGCAGTAGAGCGAGACTTTGTGCACAAGGTGTATGATGCCATAGCGCCGCATTTCAGTGCCACACGCTTTGCCCGCTGGCCCAAGGTCGCCGAGTTCCTGCTCTCCCTGCCCCGGGGCTCCCTTGTTCTCGATGCCGGGTGCGGCAATGGGAAGTACCTCAATGGTGGCCTGCCTATCCCCCCTGCTCTCCCTTCTTCTGCCTCTGTCTCTGTCTCTGCGTCTTCCTCTTTGTCAACACGCATGTCCTCCTCCCCATTCCCTTCCTCCTCCTCCACTCCTTCCTCCTCCTCCTCGCCTTCCTCCGCCGCTCCTCCCCGCCCACCGGCCGTTCTCATTGGCTGCGACATCAGCCCACCTCTCGTCTCCATCTGCAGCCAACGGGGCTTTGAGGCCTTTGTAGCCGACACCCTCTCTCTCCCCCTCGCTTCTTCCCGCTTCGACGCGGCGATTTCCGTGGCCGTTTTGCACCACTTGTCGTCTGAGACCCGGCGGAAACATGCGCTAAGAGAGATGCTTAGGGTGGTGAAGAAGGGGGGTAGGGTGCTGGTGACTGTGTGGGCGAGGGAACAGGAGAATCCGGGGTTGCTTGACAAGTGGACGCCGCTGATTGGTCGGATGGCGGATAGGTGGGTGGGGGATGTTGGGGAAGGAGGAGGAGAGGAGAGAGGGAGGGAGAGAGGGGGGGAGAGGGAAGAGAGGACGGGAGGAGGGCTGGGAGGGATTGAGGAGGACAGAGAGACCAGTAACGAGGAGAATGCGTGCCCAAGGAGGGGTTTAGAAGGAAAAGAGATTTTAAGAGAAGAGGCCGCAACAGCGGGGGAGGGGACAAGTGCGCAAAGTGCAGAAGCAGGCAAGGGAGCAGAGAACCTAAACTTAGCAGAGCTAAGGGGAGGAGGGTCAGGAGAAGTAAAGGCAGGGGGGGGATCAGAGCTAGGTAAATCGACAGGAGTGGAAGCTTCCCAGGAGTTTCTGGTCCCGTGGCACCTGCCATGTCATCGAGTGGAGATAGGTTCGGCAGCGGCAGCACAGCACGTAGCCTCGGGGTTTGCTCGGCGGGATGAAGCTAAGGGGTCGGTGGTGTACAACCGATATTACTATGTGTTCACTCGAGGAGAGCTGGAGAGGTAAGCATCATGCCATTGTGTGCTTGCTGTTGTTGTTGTTGTTGTCTGTTTGTTTGTTTTTTGTTCTTATCGTTATACTGATTTTTTTTGTGTTGTGGTTCTGTTCATCTCCTTCCTGATGTTTTGTGCAGGCTCTTCACAGAGATTGGTGGTGCATCAATTGTTGAGAGCTTTTACGACAAATCCAATTGGTGTGTGATAATGGAGAAGCTCTAGAAGGGTCTTCATGGTATGCTACAGTGTTGAATATGCATTCATGGACTAATGCAACAGAAGAAGTTACTCCGCTTTCTTTCTGCTGGAAAATAGTAGATGTCCTCCTGGTGTCTCAGAAAACAGCCTGTTCACATGGCTGGTGGTTGCTATGGTCTGTATCAACTCTCAACCTAGTAATAATTAGAACGCTTTTACCGGGTGGAACTTTTGTAGACCGGTTATCTCATTCCTTGGTTTGAAGGTATCGTCGGTTGAGTGCAAAGTGCCAGGTTCTCAGCTTCTTTGTGGCTTACCTTCCTTCCCATCTGATGGGTCAGGGTTAGCTGAATCTTGTGGTCAGCTGTGTTCGGGCAGTTCTATTCTGACCAATGAACACCCTGACCCTTTCTATCTGACCAATCCCCATAGCTAGACACAAACCCTGCGCTGGCGCCCCTTTGGGCACAATAAAGCAATTCTAACCAATCAGGGAAGCGTCAAGATCTATTCAGTTGCTCCCCCTGATCGCCGTTATTGGGATTGGTTGGTGGGAGAAACAAAGTGACTTAAAGCCGTGGCCCAACTATCAGCTTCAACTTCGAAGCATTATAGCTTGGAACTTGGTTGTCCCAGGCAGTTATGTGGCGAGAAGTTTGTCTTTTCCGAGATTCCATTTTTTCATCCAATAAGGGTCTCGTTACACACACTCCATGTTTGTCTCGCCACTGTTCCTAAGAAGTTGCACTCCGCCTTTAAGCTGATGAGCTTTGTTCGAGATTTCAGCACAAATAAAGATAACGACGCACGTGCGATTATCTCTAGGCTTATGGTCGCAGATGTTTGTCGCCCAGTTTTTGTCCCTCGAGGTCAGCGAATCAGCTACACTGGGAAAACCCGTTCCCCGCGAATCGCCCACGTTGGCTTCATTTCACACTCTTTCATGCGTCGCTGGCGGCGATCGTCGTGTGCGACAGGTTTGGGTAGCCACCCCAGCAAAACAGCGCAGCACAGTAAGCCACAAAATCAGTGCGACGCGGTCACCTGACAACTGCGTCGCGGAGAACGACACGCAAAAAGTGCCACACGCTGATGCGATCTCAAGGAGACCCGCCTTCCCACTTCCCCCCATCTCCCCCCTCTCCCTGCATCACATCCACTAGTGAGCGGACTCTGCCAACAAGACGGGGAAACGCGCAACTTTGATCTCCGCCGATCAGCTGAACTCCCACTGAAAGTCTGGGAAGGGGCACGAGCAGGGCGCGCAGCTTCCAACGCCGCACGCGCGCAGTCCGCGGCCGTGCGTTGGAACAGGGAGCTGCGCCGCAGGGGATTTGGTTGTGTAGCTCTCCGTCGCCTAGGAGAGAATTTCTCCAAGGACTTGTTTGGTGATTCACTCTTGCCCGCGTGTCCCCGAATTGCTCGCGTGGCCATCCAATCCAGTGATAATTGCTCGAGTGGCCATGCCAGGGCATTTTCGAGGTGTTTGTTTTTCCTGGCACATTACCCTAAAAGAGTTCGTATCCCCGAAATTCCTCGTTCGCACAACTTTTCCCGCTGATAAGTAAAAGGTTCAAACAAGTACCCGCTGAGCTCAATCACCACGCAGAGCTCTCCGCCATGGCTCCTTCTGAGAACTTCAACTTACTCAATGTCATGCTTAGCTCTATCAGTTCGACCATCTGAATACAGATCCGGGATCTACTCATCAAGAGCTTGTTTATGACGCCAACATTGTGTTCACAGAGCGAACATCGGTTAGTCGTAACTGCTTCTATGAAGATCTCTGTTTTTCAGGTTAAGAAACTGTTTTTAAGCTCAAGACATTCAAGTTACTCTAAGGAAGTTAAAATGGTCGGGTCAAACCGTCGCTTAAGATGGCACCGTGAAAACAAGACAGGTTCAAGACAAAGAAGCGGAAAGTGCAAGTACAAGGAGGTTGGACAACGGAACATATTTCGTTTATCTGCCTTTGCTGCGATTCATCGTCTACCAAAGAGAGAGGAAGCTCATAGTCAAGTGCGGAGACCACCTCAATCACTAGCAGGAACGATCAAGGATGGACCAGAGCCAATTTTCCATCAGATTGAATTTATGACGTCGGCGGAACGGGACGTTTCACGAAATTTTGGCACGGCTCCTAGAGTATTTCAAGACGTTGACTATTTTCCTACTGGAATGTGTGAAGAAGGTTATTCCGACTTTAAGATTCTGAAGAACAGGAAGACAGAAGTCGATTCTGGAATTTTCCCTACGTTACAAGAAGCATATTTTCATTTGGAGGAAATAGATGACGCCGTCAGAGTGTTTCGGCGCCATCAATCAAGGCAAGCTACTCGAGGTGTTTTTCCCTCTGAAGGTGTTTTGCTCTCAGCTGCTCCTATCACACCGCTCACACAAGCTCGAACGACTGCAAGTGTGATTGGAAACATTCGTCGTCCCCAAGGCCCTGTCAGGCATCAACTTCTAAGCAGGGCAATTTCTGCTGTAACCCAACTCCACCAATCTCAGCAAGGCAAGGTCAGAGCCAATCGACCAAGGCTGAAGCGTCACATTCGTCACCAAGGCCCTGTTCAGCAGCAGCGATCCAGAGCTGCTTCTGTTGCAAACCAACCTCACCAGACCAGGGAAGGCAGGTTCGGAGGAGCCAAGCCACCAAGCTGAAGCGACAAAACCAACATGAGGAATGTATCGAGATGCTTCTGCAAGTACTGAAGTGTGACAACGGCACAATAGGTTTTTGTGGCGGGCAAGCTGAAATGTTTAGGCGTTTGGTCTATAAGCCTCCGTAGAGATCTGGGAGGGTACGGTAGTATACACTACCTATGCCCTCTAGCACCGGTTACGACCGTGGTGTTTTTGCATTGTACGTGTATAGTGCATATTTCACCTTAAAAAAAAAAAAAAACAGTAGATGCGCGGTCATTTTCGGCCCAATGCGCGACCAATGAGCGCGTGGGCAAATACATCAGCGATCATAAACTGCAACGCAGGAGCATAAATGCACGAACATATTAGTGACCGCGCACGATTGGTCGATAATATGCTTCTTGCCCTTTTTGGCAATGCGCGTCCAATCACGTACTGTCATATAATTTACGAACATATATTTAGGCGATAAAGGGTCACCCAACAACCAATATGACCGCGCATATACTACCATTAGTTCTATCATATGTCTGCTCCATATAAAACCATGTATTTCAAATGTCATAAATATATTCTCTGCTATTAATTTAAGCCCAGCATAACAGTGGTCCATAATATTGTATTTCCGGTAATATGGTTGCAAAAATAATATGTCGGGCAGCATAATATTAATTTAAGCCAGCATAATATTAATTGGATGGCCACGCGAGCAATTCGGGGACACGTGGGCAAGAGAGTCACCAAACAAGGCCCTTGAGCAATTCTCTCGTCGTCCAGAGCTCCACGGGAGTTCTTCCCTGTATCTTACGCGTTTCGCCAGGCCCTTTCCAGTCGCAACTGGTCCGCCTTAGGCCCCGTTGGCTTGTCTGCCTCGCCTGCTCCTCATAGCGGCTCTCCCTTGGCTTCGCGTGATCCTTCTTTTTCTGACCATCGTTCCGTTTGGGCCTCCGAAGTCTTTCCAGAGATTTCAAGCTCACGTTGATTGTTGACTCGGTTTTGTCACGCCTGGGGCTGGTCAGACATTATTGTCGATAGGTTAGAAGTGGACTCTTTCTCAAGATAGCTGCTGTTTGTGGTTCGACCTACGTAGCTGACTTCTGTAGTCTAACTTATTCCGAGAGCTAACTTAGCACGTTTTAAATCATGGATCAACTAGCAGTCGTAGTAGATTCTGCGTCTAGGCGTAAGTTACTAACCAGGGATCCATCCCCTACGAGAGTTTTAGTAAATCGTGAACTCTCTGACAGGCTGTCTCGAATCCACCTGTCACCATCATGGCCGTTGGTATGGAAGGCGCAGATGACGGATTCCTTATCCACGTGGCAAACCTGGGAGTTGCCAGCTCAGCCAGATAGTCTCTTATCTTTTCAGGCTGGGATAGACGATTTAAGGCTAACAGCGTCTGACGGCGGTTGGGCTCCCTTCCTGCTCGCTCTCTCCGCGGTCCAACCGGGGTCGAGATCATTCTGCGAAGCTGCCGCGAAACAGCTTCATAGCTTCCTATTATGGGACGACTGGTTGAAACGGCATGGCTCGGAAGATGAATTTTCTCAGTTGACGGTGTTTCTCGGGGAGGTTGCTACTGCGGGGAAGGGGTGCATGGGAGGATGCAGAACAGAGAGAAGACATCTAAGCTCGTTTCCTCGTCGGCTTGACAGCAAGTATCCGTTGAAGTTGGAAGCATTTGTGGGATCGCTGTCAGTTCTGCAATCCAGCCAGGGTTCCGATAGTCTACACCGACCAAACGGGGACTCCGCGTCCTGGATGAAGCGATACCTGAGCTGCTGGTCAGCGTACAGCACGGTAAGCACCATTTCATTCAGCACCCTTCACCTGAAAACGAGTACTTCAAAGTGAACATTCACTCATCCACTCGATATCCTTGTCAATGTCCGAAGTCCTAATGTTGTTTCGTGATGCTTGGTGCTTACTTTCAGGCTGGGTTGAAGTCTCACTCCGCGCTACGGCAATCCTTAGAAGCGGGACAAATACCCACTCTTCACGAGTACCTCCTTTACCGAGCGACAACAAACGTCGCCTGGCCTACAATGCTCCTCGCGGCGACTCAGCACCACCTCCCCCCTCTCTCCGATTCCTCCTTCCAAGCCCTCCTCCCTCTCATCTTCACCGCAGCCGCTCTCACAGCTCTCTCCGCTGATTCCCTCCTCGTGACTCGTGGCAAACTCGCCACGGCAGCTTCCTTATCCGCTGCGCAGCTGTTCGACGGGGAAACGAATCTTCTCCTCCAGAACTCCCTAGCCGTCGCTTTCTCTGCTGTCGCCAGGCGGATCGAACTGGAGGCGGAGGACTTGACCGAAGGTGACGAACGCGCGTCGTTGCTGGGGTTTGTGCGCGTCGCTAAGAGCGCCGTTCACGGCGTCATGGCGTGGTACGGCTGCGCATGGCGATTCCGAGCGCAGCCGGCTGCGAAAACGGCGACGGCTGAAGCTAACGCTGGTTCGGATGATGAAGGGGATAAGATTACCGTGGAGGGATGCGGCGTGGAGTTAATTAACGACGTGCCTCAATGGCTTATGGATGAGATCGAGACTGCGGCTGGCGACTTCTCTGCGTTGCATTAATGGGGGAGTGTGTGGGAGGGCCTTGTTTGACAGCTGAGGTTGGAAGTTGAAATGGGAGGATGGGGAGGGAGGGAGCGTCAGCGTCAGGTGCCGGTGTCAGCGTCAGCGTGAGGGCTGAAACGCCGGTTCTTTGGTCCTGATATTGAACTGGAGGTGCTGCTGATGTCCGTGATGCTTCTGGTGCTTCTGGTGCATCAGGTGCTTCTATTGACTTTAATGGTGAAGATCTTCTGATGGTTTCCAGCTGCAACAGTACCCTTCGGCCAGTGATTTGCACTGCAATCTGCTAACTGCTGTTGTCCTGCCTGCCACCTCTTGTATCTACACCCCCTCTCAGCTGCGTATCTAGGCCCTTGCACTATAACTGTGTGTGTTGGCGGTCATACTTAACCATAGGCTGGATGAGAGCAAAGTTAAGAACGGTTCTGGGTCGATAATGGGTGGTATCTGGTCTTCTGGTGATTGGTGCCTGCTTGTGAATGGCATGAGAGGCACATTCCTTCTGTTCATGTGATAGGTCCTGTACACTGTACAGAGCTACAGAACAGTGAGCTTCTTCCCCTGTTGTAGGGGCTGGAGGCCAGTTGCTGGTGGGAGCTGTATAGCTGCAGCCTCAGCAGCCTGATGTTGCATCAACTCCTGTTTAGCATAAGCTATACCTGAGCCAGATGTGGTATTACCAATCCACGGATGTAGATGTTAAATAAGTTGGGGAGGTGGTTGATGTGTGTTTTGAAATACTACTGTACGTTTTTGTCATTCCACAAATCACAGCATCAACTAGCAAGGAACAGCAAAAGCGAGGTAGTGTATTCGGGAACGTAAAACCAGACTTTCTGTGTCGGTCGGATGCGGTAGCTATGTCTCTTCCTGTGCTACAGCACGCGATCTGACACCCTTCCCCGTCAGCGCCACGGCTCGTTGATCAGACACGTATGGGACGAAATCGACCCAATCAGTCTGGAATCTAGATTTATGGAAGCAGATGTTGCAAGGTTCTGTCAGAAATCCTCGAATTCCCGTCGCTCGCTTCTAGACGCCGCCGTGCGGTCTCTACTAGTCCGTGAAGCGGTGATTCCCGTTTCAACTGCAACGTCGCCGTACGTGCTGTAGACCTTCAAGGTGAAACCGGGGATGAGGGGAATCGTTGGCAGTTGGAATGACCGAGCGTTCAGGGCTTTAACGAACGTGCTTTACCCTCCGAATTTCCTCCTTATGGGCGTTTTCTGGACCTGGTATGTCCTCCTGTCGCACATCCGCGTGGCGTTTCTGCGAAATAGCAAAGTTAGTTCGCGAAATCCGTTACCAGGAAGTAGATCGGAGGCGTCGCGAGCAGGGGAGGATAAGGAGCATGGCGATGACGGAAGAGAGTATGGACAAGTAGAAGGAAAGAGAGGAGACAGAGGAGAGCGTGGAGAAGGAGAAGAAGGAGGAGAAAGGGGAGAAGGAGAAGGAAGAGGAGGAAGTGTAAACGGAGGAGCGCTGAGAGCAACGTGTATTGTGACTGGGGTAAGTCATGAGTCGCCTCACACACTGAGAGAAACATGCCTTGTGACTGGGTGGGCATGCGATATGATGGGATGGGATGGGATGGGATGGGATGGGATGGGATGGGATGGGATGGGATGGGATGGGATGGGATGTGATGGGTGTGGTCTTATTGAGAGATGAAGTGATGTGATGATTTGTGATGTGATTTAAAGGGATGTGAGGTGAGGTGTGTTGTGTTGTGATGTGATGAGATGTGATGTGATGTGGTGTGATGTGATGTGTGGTGTGGTGTGGTGTGTTGTGGTGTGTTGTGGTGTGGTGTGGTGTGGTGTGGTGTGGTGTGGTGTGGTGTGGTGTGGTGTGGTGTGGTGTGGTGTGGTGTGGTGTGATGTGATGTGATAGTCTGGTCCGTTGAAGATTTAGTGTGTGATTCTTTTCCTGGTATTATTGCACCACGTGTTACGGTTGTCATTTGGAAATTGCGCAACAATTCAGCTTCGCTCAGTCGTTATTGGATTGGCTGTTGGGTTCATTGAATAATTTTTGATTGGGTGATTGGTTTGCCAGGCCACGTCCGGGCTGGGGAAGGAGGCAGCAACAGCACTGGCATCTCTAGGCACTTTCCATGTGGTGATTGGTGAGATGTGTATGATGGGTGAGATGCGTGCATGATCGATTGCTGATGATCAGGCATGTGGCGACGGGTGAGATGCAGATGATGGGTGAGATGCAGATGATGGGTGAGACGTGGATGATCAATTGTAGATGATCAGGCACGCAGTGATGGGTGAGATGCAGATGCTGAGGCGGTAGATGTTTAGGCATGTGGTGATGGGTGAGATGCGAGGATCAAATGCATCTGTTTCGCCAGACGCTTTTTTAATACATCCAAGTCCGTTTCTAGTCACTGCCACCCATTTTCCCAGAGCAATGAAAATTCACCAAAATATTTCCAAGGTACTTAAAAGTCACTTTCCTATCACCACTGCTGCTTCTCCCACCCCCTGTGCTGCTGCAGGATGCCACTCATTCAAGCGTGGTTACCAGGTGAGATTGGTTTCATGAGGTGGCTACATTAAGTGTTTTTTTCCTTTTAAAAAGATTCTATAACAGAACCTGCATGAGTCTTTATAATAGTGCTGCCCTCAGTTTCTTAGCACAGCCGATGATTATCGTGTCACAACTTAGACGCTTTCCCATAAAGCATCCTTAGCCATCATGGGAACTCATGCCATGCCAACTCGTAACCCCAAGCTTCAAGGGAAGCTCAATACCCTGGAAACTGTCAACCTCAAGTCCGAAACTCGTGTCCTCCGTACTATGCCGCCCGGCATCCTGCCACGTGTACCTCCCTTGAAGGCAGCTGCTGACATCCTTCGTCAGCATCCCCACGCATCGATAGAGGTCCTGCCGCTCGATCTCTCCCGGCCGGCATCCGTTGTCCGTTTCTGCCACCTCGTGCGCTCGAGACTAGGGCTGGATGCGGTTATGATTGGTGCTGAGGAGGGGATTGAAAAGGTGGGAGAAAAGGCGAGGAGTATTTATGGACTTCTCAAAAGCAATTCCAGTTTGGAAGAGGCACAGCAGGGATCAAGACAAGGAGGGGAAGAGGAAGAGAATGAGGGGAGGGCGAAAGAGGGTAGCCAGGGGGGTGGAGAGGAGCGGGGGCTAGAGGAAGAGGCAGTAGAGGAGGAAGAGGAGGAGGAGGAGGAGGGGGAGGAAAAGGGGTTTCTCTGGGGCCAGCAGCAGCAGCAATGGCAGACGCGTATGGCTCAAGTTCCCTCCCCCATGCCTCCCTTATGCCTCCTTGTCAACAATGCTGGCATCCTTTCTCCTACCGCCTCCCACCGCTCTGCACCTGCCTCTCTACCAGTTGACCGGTACAATCCCAGCTCCCCTTCCCCCTTGCTGAATGGTGACTGCAGCACCTTAACCACCAACCATCCCCCCCCCCTGCTCTGCTCACGCTCCACCTGCTGGCTGCCACTCATTATGAATCCCCTGTGTCGTCTGCTCATCGGTCATTTCAGCATGCTAGCTACCAACTACCTCGGCCCTGTTCTATTCACGCCCCCCCTGCTGCCCCTCTCATATGCCAGCCCGTCGTTCAAATCGCCCCTCGTTTCCCTTGCCCATCGGTTTCTGCAGCATCCTACCCACCAACTATCTCGGCCGGCCCTGCTCACACTCTGTCCACTGCTCCTCTCATATCCGGCTCATGCTTCTGATCTAATCCCCTCTCGTTTCCCTTGCTCATCGGTGTCTGCAGCATCCTAGCCACCAACTATCTCGGCCCAGTCCTGCCGGGTCCTGCCCGGTCCTGCTCACACTCTGCCTGCTGCCCCTCACCATACCTTCCTGTCCTTCCCTTCCCGATAATGAATCCCCTGTGTTCTCCCTCCGTCCTTGGTCATCGCAGCATGCTAGCCACCAACTATCTTGGCCCTGTTCTGCTCACTCTCCGCCTGCTGCCCCTCATGGGAAGACGAGCGCCCTCCTTACTAGCACAAGCACATGGAGGAAACAACACAGGCGCATGTGGGGAGGCGGAGGAGAGACTGAAATGCCGCATAGTCAATGTGACTTCCTTCACGCATCGATCAGGTGAACCATGATCAGGTGAACCATGCACATTACTTTTTGCTTCTTGCTTCTTGTTTCTTCTTCTTTTCTTTTCTCCCGGAGGAGAGGGGGTCGCATGAGATCACATTTGCTTTGAAACGTTGTGAGGCAATCGAAGGCGAGAACGAGTAGTAGGCGCATTGTCCATGTGACATCCTTCACTCATCAATCAGGCGTGCTGACAAACGCATTCATAGAGGGAATCAATCCTTCACCCCGGCAGTAATGTACAATCGAATCAACTATGTGAAGCATTGCCAGCAGCCGACCCCCAAAACACCCAGGCGCTGCTGGCAACACTTCGAACAGGTGATTGTAGAATAGTACCCTTTTTAGTTTTGAGGCGCCTCAAAGCTAGACGCCTCAAAATCAAAACTAGATTTGAGGCGCCTCAAAACACCCCAGAACTGCCTCCAATGCTTCACACAGGTGACTGTAGAATAGTGCCTAATTTTTGTGTGTCCTCTCTCGCTACATGTGTTGCGCTGTCAAATGCTTCAGATTCTCTGCCACCCTTCCTCTTCACCCACTCCTCCCCGCTTTCCTCCAATACCAGTGCGCCAGCTGTGCGTGTCTGATGTGGCGTCTCTGGCAACAGGCGCTGCTGCTCCTGCCAGCTCGCCCCCGCCTCTGTTCTACCCTGCAGCCAGCATATACCAGGCCTCCAAACGTACGTCTTTAGACAAGTGCTGTATGCATGGTGCATGGTTGCCTGCATGCATGATCTCGCAACCACACACGCGCCTCTGTTCTACCCTGCAGCCAGCATTTACCAGGCCTCCAAACGTATGTATCTCGATTTGGGGTGCGTGTGGACGTGAGTTGTACTGTACTGTGCATAATTGCTTGCTCGCACGCTCCTGCGAGCCCACCCTTTCCTCTGTTCTACCCTGCACCTAGCATATACCAGGCCTCCAAACGTACGAATGGATGGCTGTTGCAGGCGTGTGTGTGAAAGGCATGTGATGCATGCATGGATAGAGTATGCTTGCGGTGTATGCCCCTGCCATCCCACCCTCCTCTCTGTTTTATGAAATTGCAAGGATGTGCCGAGATATCCCTCACCTCTGGTCTGCAGCGTCTAATGAGACGAGTATTGAAAAGCCTCAAAGTCGTTTCTCCAGATGCCTCCCAATTCGCATTCGTTTCCTCCCTCCTCGTTGCCCCCCCCTATTGCTGCCTGCCTGCCTGCAGTGTGCCTGCTGCTCTTCTTGCTGCGCCTCCACAATCTCATGAGGCCAGTCTTGAGGAGTCTCAGCCTCCGAGTCAACTCTCTAGACGCCTCAGAACTTGCATCCGTTTTCCCCCTCCTCTTCTCCCCTTTGCTGCGTGCCTTCCTGCAGTGTGCCTGCTCCTGTTCTCACTGCACCTCCAGCGTCTCCTCCAGTCAGACCCCTCCACGTGTCACATATCCGTCGTGTAAGTCTCTCCCTCCCTATACTTTCTCTTGTGCTTACCTCCACTGCATTTGGCCTGACTGCTCTTACCTCAACTGCTTTCAATCAATTCCCATGTGTTCGATTCGCTTCTGCCCTCAACTGCCCTGCTTTCCTTAACACCACCCCTTCTCCAGCCCCATAGACCCAGGCATGGTGCGCACGGCTGTGCTGAGGGAGCTGCCCTCCTTCCTCGCAGCCACAGTCAACGCCATCTTCTCCCTCCTCAGCCTCTACTTAAACCGTCCTGTGCTGTCCCCCGCTTGGCTTGCCCTTTCAGCCCCATAGACCCCGGGATGGTGTGCACTGCTGTGCTGAGGGAGCTACCTTCCCTCTTCGCAGCCACAGTCAACACCCGCTTCTCCCTCCTCGGCCTCCTCCCTGTTCTTTGTGTCCCCTGTGCTGTCTCCCCCCTTGCCTGCCCCCTTCCTTTCAGCCCCATAGACCCCGGAATGGTGCGCACGGCAGTACTAAGGGAGCTGCCTTCCCTCTTCGCAGCCACAATCAACACCATCTTCTCTCTCCTCGGCCTCTGTTTGCTGCCCCACGCCCTCGTCCCCCTCTTCCTCTGCGCCTCCACTGCTCCGCAGGTGAGCTCTTTCACTTTGCTTGCACCCGAAATCTCAATGTTTTCATTTGGCTACCTCAAACAATCTTCTCTCTCTCCCGCACACTCTCATCGCTCGCTTCCTCCATGCATCCACTGCTCCCCAGGTTAGTTCTTAACTATCCCCTAAAGTTTCTTCACCCCTCCCTCCCTTCCTTTCTCCTTCCCCCGTTCTGCCACCAATTCGACCTTCTTCCTCACCTCGTTGCCTGGCCCCCCAACCCCCCACCTCCACCTCTGTCCCCTTTTTTACTTACCTCCACTTACTTCCCGACCTCTCCCTGAATCCTGCTTGGCCCATGATATACCTTCTTGTTTGAATCTTCTCTTCTTTCCTTCCTTCCCCCTTTCTTGCATATCTTCCCTTCCCTGCCTTCCCTTTCCTTTCCTTTTCCCTCTCCTTCCTTCCCTTCCCATACTTATTCAGGAGCAAGTAGCAGGGAAGTACCTGTTTGGAACCCACGCAGTCCCCCTTCCACCCTCCCCACTTGCCCAAGACACCTCTCTCTCGAATTCACTTTGGCGAACCACTCAAGACCTCCTCACCCAATGGGTGTCCAGATGATTTTGAAGGGTTGGCTCGGATTCTAGACATAAGTTTTTCCTGAAATTGTAGACATCTCTTGCCCCATTTCTTTTTTATGGCTCAGAAATATGTTGTATTGAGTGTACATAAAATGATACCACCATTATGGCACGGGAAAATATGCCACAAGTAACCAACTTGGAACTCGATAACGTGAATGGTAAAAAAAAAACGCGTACGGTCACTGTATCGGGTTTTCTGACGGGTCTGGTAAGCGGGGTCACGGATTCAGTCACTAACAAACAGGTAAAAAATCACACGAATGGTCACTTATGTAACTCCCGCAAAAAAAAACTTGAAACTCAACAAAATTCCCGCTCGCGCCCAACCAATCTGCGAACTTGTAAATAAACTAAAACCCAATCGGAATCGGATGCGGTTTGGGAACGGATCAACCCTAAACACCTGGCGAGCTACGTGTTTAGGGTTGATCATCCGAAAATGCATCCAGGTTCTTTCTGGGTTTCATTTTGTTTTGGCGGGAGTTTCATCTGTGACCATTCGCGTTTTTTTTTTACCAGCTGATTGTGACTGATTCCGTGAAACGCTTTATCAGTCGCGTGAAAACACCCTTTGCAGTGACCGTACCCTTTATTTTATTACCAAAAATGTTTTCGAGTCCCATGATGGTTACGAACGGCATATTTTCCCTTATGGCACTTGGCCGTGTAGCAACAGACTATACTGCTTCTCGATTATTGTTTTTCCCCAGTAACTGCTGAGGCTGAATCCGCATGGACCTCAGTACTACTGTGAGCTCTCTCTTCGCCTCCCGCTGCCTTTTGAGTCTCCGCGTTCTCCGCTCTCTCCCCGCTGCTGACAACGCCAGGTATAGTCTGTCAGAAATTACAGTATTGATAAGCATGGATGGTCGGTGAGAAGGAACGAAATTAATTTATCTCCCGAAGAGTATGAAGGGATCGGAAAAGTACCAAACGCAAGAAGAAGCACTAAAACGCTCGTCACAGCTGCGACTTCTTGCGATTAGGGTCACAGCGTGACAGCGCTCATTGTGTTAGCTACTGATTCTCCAGACTGGGAGATTAACACAGAATGCTGAATAATACAGTGGAGACCTGACTGCAACTCGGTCGTTACTGGCTCCTGACGGTCAATGCAGTCATGAACAAATCCTGACGGTGAATGTGGTCGTTACCAGGTCTGGCTTGTATATATTGTGAACGACAGATGCTCCAACGAGCAGCGACGCGATCGCGACGGCGTACGATCGGATCATGACGGTTAGCGAGGCGACCAGCAAATGGAATGGCTACCCCGTAATCAAGAGCGCCTGGACAAGACCCTTTCGATCAAGACCCCTTTTTTTTTTGCTTCAAAAGCATCCGTGCCTCGTCATGTGCACATGTTTCGCTAATTAGCCGCAAGCTATGCCGTGCGCTACGGTGGATGGCTTGACGAGCATCATGGAGGATATGGCTTGGAATATATATTACAGCAGGCAGTGGTTAAACCCTAAAATTTTAGGGTTGAGGCTCCCGAATGGCATGCAGTCCGAATGGGTTTTAGTTTTTTCTGCCCGCGGTCAGCATGCTGACTCACTTGGTAGCATCGTCTAGCGAAATGGTAGCGCTACCGAGCGCTACCGACGCTACCGAGTGCAATATATTGAAGGAGCACTACTTTCGCCTTCCATGCTAAGATCCTCATAATATATCTCAATATGCAGGACACGAATCAATATGCAGGAATGAATGAACTATGAATGTCTTGGGTACAACTACTAATCCTAAAGTGTTGTACCCATTGTAGGCTAACCCACTACAGCCTAGAGAGAACACAAACATCTAGTTTGACACACCCCCATAGGCTAAGTGGGAGATAGCAAACACAACAGACACTCACAAGACCAGTCAAGCAAGAGAACAAAACAAAGCAAAGCTCAGTGTGGATCTCAAGGACACCACACAATCTGAGCACAAGCAAGCGGCCACAAGGCCAGTTCACATGCAGAGTTATAATAGCAAGGCAATACACTGATCACTGTTGAGATAGTATCGAGACTTAAGCACTTCAAGGAAATTCGTGTAGTACAGTGAAGTACCGATAGGCTGACGTCAGCAATGCGCTACGCGCCATAGGGTGACGTCAGCACGTAGCTATAGACTTCGCGAATAGTTACGTACCGTTTCAAGATAAGAATAGCACAGTACAAGTAGGCGAACAGGTACTTTACTCTAGCTATATATTTTGTATGTTTGTCATTTTATAAAATATCTGATTTCAGAGACATCGATCCTGAAACATATCACTACATGGACTTTTATTAAAGTTCAGACAAAGCTTTCATAACAGGCTTTAATATAAGACTTCCGCTACGACAAGAAGCTACCATCCTAAGTATTACGATCCTATTCAATCACTTCAAATTCTAACATGGTATTGCGAGCGTCTTAGGATACTACAAGCTTCCAAATACATACTCTACAACTATGTCTGGATCTCCACGGTCCAACAACGGCTCTTCGGTTACGAGCCCATCACGCCCAACAGCGTCAACAGCTGCTGATAATTCACATCTGCAGCAACAACATCAACAACAACAATATCAGCAACAACCGATGTACGGCATGCCACTGAGCAGTCAGCCTACACACACAACTGCAGCAGCGTCATCATCGACAGCAGCCGCAGCATCAGCAACCACAACAGCTGCAACTGCAGTCACTGGTTCTTCGAGTCAACCAGGACAACAGTCCAATTTTGTACCAACTGGACCTTATCAATATCAAGGGGCTTACCAGCCAACGAATCTTCAACAGCGTGTCAATGCTGCCGTCTTGTCACTTAACCAAATGTTTCCAACTCCTATGAGCCTTGATGGTTCCAGTTATCAGCATGGACAGATGCCACAGGGAAGCGACGGGTCGAATAACTCCAGGACAACATGCACCACAAGGATCACATATGCCATCACTTTATCAGCTGCGGCACTGGTACGAAAAGGACGAATGCCAAGCTGTTCAGTTGGTGTCAGATTGCGAACGAGAACTGTGTATGCAGTCAGCGACGCCGATCGAAAAGTGGCCTGTTGAAGTGGTGACCCGTGACAAGGAAAAGGTGCTGTGCCGTCGAACAACTGCCAGAACCCCGCGGTCTGAACAAGAAGCTCAAATTCAAAACTCCAGGTATAGAAATCTTGACCGTTAAAAGGCATAGTCGTTTTAATTTTTGTTGGGTTTGCAGAAGCGGGAAGATAGTTTCCGGTACAAGCAGCTTGGTTATACCTGCAAGGGGTTCACATGGCAAAGGACACTGTCAACCAGAGAAAAATTTTGACGCAGCTGTCAAATATACAGATGATAAACGGCGAGAAGGTGACGCAGTATATCAACCGCGCTCGAAATTTGCGTGATCAACTTCAGAAGTGTGGAGGGTACTTCCCCGATGCTATGTTCCACACGGTGCTACTCGCGGGTCTTGGACCAGAATGGCGACAGTGTCGCTCTATTCTTCGGATGCAAGCACAGTTGTCCAAGGGGGCACTCTGTGCCGCTCTCATCGCCGAGCAGCAGGATATGGACCTGCACAACGCTCGAGGAGGGAAAAATATGGTAAACAATACAGTCAGTTTTTATTATAATCCACGTCACAAGCCCGTTTGCTCTTTTTGTCGAAAAGCAGGACACACTATTGATACCTGCTGGTCAAAAGATAAACATCTTGGAAGCGGACTACGTCGAAACATTCCAAAGATTCTTCAGGTGAAGCTGAGAAGCAGGAAGCTGAGAAGCAGGCAGCAGAGAAGCAGGAAGCTGTGAAGCAGAATACTGCGAAACCGAATTCTGCGAAGCTGCCTACTACACCTGTCAAGACACAAGCGAAAGAAGTTATTAATTGTATGACGTCAGTTTCTACAGTCTACGATCCTGACGCTGAGGAACGTATTCACAATAACTTCAATGACGAACTCAACACGCCCATACCACCCGAGGTCTATGCCAACCTTGCACAAACATTGGAAGGTCCCAACACTTGGTATCTTGACAGTTGTTGCGGGCAGCATATGTGTTCATCAGAAAATCGCTTCGTCATCAATCAGCGTCGTTTCAGAATCCATGTGTTGTAACAGTCGCCAACAACCAACGTCTTACAGCACACTGGATGGGTAACATCATTCTTGATTCTGTTGAAGAAGACTTCAGTCTTCATCTTAACGATGTACTCCTCGTTTCTCGACTTGGATTTGATCTGATGTCATCAGCACAGCTCATGAGGAATGGCATTACTCTTCTTGGTGAACCGGGCAAGTTTACTTTAAAATATGGAGACAAGAAACTCGGCACGGCAATTGAACAGAACGGCGTGTTCGTTCTCAACTTCGTACCTGAACGCACCACTGTCGACTCCGAGAATATTCTCTCTCTTGGCCCATGGGAACATCGTGATGACATCGATTACACCGATGATACCGTTCCTCGTGATGGAGTTGTACCCACGTCTTCGACCACGGCTGCCGCAGTTATGCTGACCTTCGACAATCAAGGTTTGAACGACGTCCAGAACTCCCGAGATTATCTTGCTGGTGGTTGGGGAGATACGACGAATATGCCCACGGGTGAAGGCACTTGGGGGGCACAGGAACCTGACGAGACTACTTGGGGAGAAACACCTGCTGATCGTGATCACCGTCTTCTCACAGAAGCAGAGCAGCGTGTCGCTGACATGGAAGTCCTCGACTCCGGACGACTTATCGGTGTTGAGCCTAAACCTGCAGCATCAGATCAAGAAAGCGGGGAGTTGGTTCTTTCACCTGGCGAATCCATCGATGTCGAACTCAAAATTCCGCCACCTAACCTTACCAGGTTTATTCCGCCTGTCACAGATCATGTTCACGCTGACGGTCATCGGTTGCTGTTGTCTTTCTTTGCTAACGCCGATTATTATCTGCGTGCACAAGGACACAAAGCAACTGCAGAAACCTGGCATAAGCGTCTTGGTCATCCATCGCAATCTACGCT